TTTCCAGGAAATTGAGGGAAGCAATTTCTTGTTTATTTATGTCATGATATTCATTGGCATTCACAAATAAGACTGTTCTACCTACCAGGATTAAAGTGGTTACCTCAATCAGACATTTATGATATTACTGCATATTATGATATTTAGCATTTACTGCCATGGACTCACTGATCCAATCAACTACAATGACTGCTTTAAAGCATTATGGGAGAAATAAAAGATTCCAAAAACACAGGTTGAAATGTTTCTTGATGAAAAGATGAAAAATAATAATCAAGAGTGGTACTGTGTATTTAGTTTTATACATACACACACACACATACAGCTTTTAGATACTCACAGGAACTGTAAGATTACTCCATGCTATACTTTCCACAGACTTATTCATATTCCTCCACACCTGCAAAGTTTCATTGCTGGGATTCTCAGGCGCAGCACACACACATCTGAAGGGAATTAAAAACCAATGTACATGCTTTTAAGCTATATATGCCAAAATGCAGTGATGTACAGTAATTTAAAACATCCTGAAAAGTTTAAACTGCAGTTTATCCCAATGTTTATGAAAGAAGCAGAGTACAAGGCTCCTCCTTACATGACATGAATTAGGATTACTGAGGTTGTGGGGGAAATGAAGAATCAAAGAGGCAACTGCTCAGGAGGTTTAACAGATTGGACAAAAAACCCAAACTACGTATTTTAAAGAATTAGAAGCAGGCAAGACATTGACTTAATTATTTGGCTGCTCTGCCAATTTCTATATAGAATGACACCTGACAATAAAATAGATAATATATGCTGACTTCTACATATTGTGAATAAAAGATTAAGTTAAAACCCCAAATAATACAAGTTTCCAATAACCTTACACTAAGATATTATTTCCAAAAATTTCTATACAGTTCAACTATCTTGGCACAAAGAGTTTTCTGTGACAGGGTACAAATTAAGGTTTTTAGCTTTCTATACAGCACCAACAGCCCACAATGACGCAAACTTCAATTAGTCCTCCTGTACACCAACATAAAACAGAGATTGAAACCATTTCATTTAAAATACTGGTGCAGATGACTCAGTTTCAGCAACTCCTTTTCAAACTAGACATGTCATTAGCCTCTAGAAGTTTCTGATTCTTTTCTAAAATGTTGGTAGTTAGCCATTTATCTTGCATTTGGCATGCTTTCTGATCTACACATGACAAAACTGGTCACCATGAAGTAAAGACACCATTCCTGAGTATGTAGTGGAGTATCTGAATATAGAAATGCATAAACTGCTCAGCTTTAAAGAACTGCATACACACATTTTTTAGTAGGTTTTTGTACAACTAAAACTGCCCCTCCCTACTACAGTGGTTTGCAAATTTGGACTGCAGGATGCTTTCTGTCAGACAGGCTGGCAGAAGTACCCATCAGTTAAACAAAAAAAACATGCAACACATTGAAGACTGATTTAATGGGATGTTTACAAATAAAGCTATTCAAGTACACCAGAGAGTAAGTTTAACACATAAACATTTATGTAGAAAAGAAACAAAGTAAGCAAGAAATGTGTCTCCTTTTCCTATGAGATTCATTAAGATACTGAAAAACCAAGAACCATGGAAGGGCAAACTTGTAGTATAAAGGTAAAGAAGGAAAAAACACTACATGTGCATGGGGAGGTCTGGAACTGAATGATCTTTAAGGTCTCTTCAAACCCACACCATTCTGTGACTCTACAAATATACTTTCCTTCCTAACTGAATCCCAAAGTAACAGCAAAACGAAATAGAAGATTGGAAAGCAGTAATTCCTACAAGGTAGTTGCAAACAGAGAAATTCATATGGCTATTTATCGCACGTGAAAGTTGCAGAAGCTCTCCATGCCTCAGCTACCTGGAAATAATCCTCACCCAGGTCAGGTAAACCATCGCTATTTCTAGAAGTGGCGAGGCAGAACTCCTGTTCTGATTTAATCTCCAGGCTGACCTTTAATAAAGGTGCAATTTAAAGCAGACATTGTCACAGCCTCTCATCCCTTCCAACCACCCATAGGCTAACACAGAAAATTCACTCTGCAGCATCCTGAATAGAATTTTTCTGAGGTTTCTCATGCCCGTACCACCCCCAGCATTCCTTCTACCCTTCCCAGGAGAGGCACACATTGCAGTTAAAGTAAACAGTAAGTCTCCATACTACAAACATTTTCCTTATGTATTTTACTAACAGACAAAAACTAGTACTTACGAATATAAAGTCAGTTTACTCAAGTCATTGTGCATATTGAAGGCATACAGTTCTCCCAAATGAAAAAGCTTTTCCAATGCCTCATAAATAAATATGATGCATATAAGTGCTGCAAAAGCTTCCTCAGTAAATCGAGTGATGTAACACACAAGGCTGCTGGCATCTGTGGCTACAAGCACTATGCATAAAAATGCAGTCCACAGACCAATGCTAGTTCGCAGGGAGAGGTAGGAAAGATCATAATCCCTGTGTGAAGACAGAAACAGAAGTATTAACTGAGCCAGAAGTCACTTAAACTATATTCTATTTGAATACAGATACTGAGGCCAAACTCTAGAGATAGTCACTTTTCCTCACCCTTGATGTTAGATCTGAAGGAAGCAGAAACTTTTCTGTCTCCTCTTCCACCAATCAAAGCAACACTGCAATGCATTTCTAGGATTGAGGGTACAACTACCTAGCTTGGGAAGCATCATGGGAATGATCTTTCCAGAACTATGTAGATGTTTTCTCCTAGAAGGCAGATCAATCCCTGCTTACCCCTGCAGAACCAAAGCCAACATCTCCATGCAGTCAGAACGTAACTTTTATTTAAGTGCTATCCACCTCTTATCACTGAGTTTCTCACCAAGGCTCACCAGTTCCTTACAGCTTTGCCAAACCACATCCATCTCTCAGTCTCTTGCCGCTGCATTTGTATCTTCATGGATGCACACTTTTAACACACATCCGCTTTCAATTAAAGCTACTGTAACAGGCTACAAAGTCAGAAAGTGCATCAAGGGAACGCAAACATCACTTACCTGCAAAATTTAAATAATATCTTTTCAAATACTAGAACTGGTCCGGTGCTCCCCAAAATAGTAAGAGGTTGCCCAGCAAAGAGAGAATAGGCAATCCCAGTTAATGAGGCTCCAAAGAGAGACTCTATTGCACTCTGTTTGGGGGAAAAGAAACTGCTGTAACTATGCTGCCTTTCAGGTTAGCGTTTAGCATCACATCTGCATAAACACAGTTTTAAGATGCATTAACTTAGAAACAACGTGTTAAAAACATTGCAATTAATATCGATGTTTGAGACAAAAATAACAACACAGTTTTGCAGTTACAATACCATGGACAAAAGATTTTGCAAACTTCATTCCCTGAGAAACATAAAGCCATCCAAAACCATGAGAACAAGTTACTAGTCCTGCCAGCTATGGAGGAAAAACATACCAACAATTACTACAAATTACAGAAAAAAAATAAAAAGGTTACTCAACATGTAGTTTACAGAAAGAATAATCTGTCTCTGCAAAGAAAATAGACAAATATATTGCAACATACCTGTACCAAAACCTGCATCAGTCAACCAAGCATTACAAAAGAAACAAACTGACAGGTGGAGGTGCAGTGGAAGCTACTGAACAATACTGGTTTATGTATACATGACACCAAAAATAGATGAGCAGTAAAACAATGTCCCACCTGGTAATGCATTTCTTTTCATTGAAGTAAGATACCTACTTCAGCTCTTGAATTAGTTGCTTTATTATAACACTTTTCTGCTAAAAAGAAGTCACACTGCACCTCAAGACAAGAGGGGCAGGACTTTTTAGATGCTAAAATGATAAGAAAATTACTTGAAAATAGTTAAACACACCATTTTGAATTATGAAAAGTCATGGACTACAGATTAAAGGGTTCCTGGTGGAATTTTTAAGTGTTTGCTATTTTGCAATTACAAAAGCCTAAGAAAACAGTATTTATGCAAAGTTAAGCTCCGAATCAGGAAAGATCTAAAACTGGGCAAAAAGGTTTGCTGTAACAGGGCTATTAAAAATGAAAACGTAAGTCCTTTGTTAATTACTTTAGGGGAAAAAAAAAAAA